GAAGCTGATGAAGCAGAGATGGGCTTCATCAGCTTCTGTAGCTGGAGAGTAACAACAAAGGAACACGGAGGGCGCAACAGCAAACACAACAATAAAGCACTAGCTAATTGGACTGAAATATATATAAAAAACAGGGGGTCAATCTGGTGGTAAAGAATCAATGGCAGAGAATAAATGTGATGCCACTTAAGTGTAGATCCAGGGATCAGAAGATGGGCGGCCTTTGCAGAGGATCAGGATCATCAGTGTGGGCTCAGGGCAGTGTGGGGGATAACCAAGGGGAACCAAACAAAAAGAGTGCAGACTAGGCACGCTGCATCTGCGGCTGAAGGTGCTCGGTCTTTGTCCCGTCAGCTGTGGGCAGTGTGCGGGAGGCGGTACGTAACGGGAGCTGACAGGCGCCGGGTAGTCAGATCAGTGAGGGGATGGGGATACTCTGGGTGAATGTAGCTGGAGAGTGACACTGCATGCAGGATGTGATGTATTATACATCACTTCCTGCATTCGGGGACTGAGAGGAGATCAAAGGGAGTTCGTATACTGAACTCCCTTTGATCTCCTGTCACAGAGCCGTGCCGGTCCCGGCCGCATCGGGTACAGCGGATCTCGGGACCGGCAACGGCAGTGACAGCTTCTGATACAAGCGATCGAGCGTCTCTGTAGACGCTCGATCGCTTGACTGTAAAGCTCCCGGCCGGCCGTGTAATTACAACGGCCGGCCGGGAAGCTGCTCGTCGGGCTCCACTATCTGCTCGTCACAGACGAGCAGACGAGTGGATTTTCGAGCCCTGTATATATATATATATACATACATACATACATACATACATACATATATTTACCTAGTCAGGTACCAGAATGAAAATGTATCTTCCCTTCTCTATCCAGCCAGGCCTCTGCCAAGGTCAGACTAAGGATGGCCATGGTACATCTTGTTTTGGTGACGTGACCACATTATGATCAGCTATGATGAATCCTTGCTTTAGAGGACACCTGCAAGGACTAAAATACTGTATGTAGCATGCCACTGCTAACCACCTCCAAAAATTGCTTGTTACCTTGTTCTTTCTGACTTTAATAATTTCTTTGTCAGTGGCCCAGAGAAGCTTGTCGCTGATGACATCAGAATTGTAGATCTGAATACTTAGTTTTGCTTAGAATATTTTGAAGGCATTGGATCGGCATGGCAGCCATTTATCTAGCATTTTCAGGATAAGAGTATAGAAAAGGCAACCTATGTAATTCCTTTAGTACAGGCTTCCTTTAAAGTTATAAGTTACACATTTAGGGATAAAAACAGAGCTAACTGTGCATTAGAGGTGCAGTCAAAATAGCAGCGTGCATGGTATTTGTTTGATTGGTAGAGTAAGGCATGCTTCTGTTGAGATTTTGCACCAATTTCCATTGTCATTCAGTTGGTCTTTTGACACAGCCACAAAGTATAAAAGGACAGCCAGGTTACTGGATTTACTATCAAACAAATAGCAGTCTAGCTCAATTATACCAAAACTCCAATAAAAAAAAACGAAAGAGTCCAATAAAACCCATTTTCAAGCATGTGTTCTGCTGTAATGGAAATATCCTGCTACACATGAATGTTTTTTTTACAAAGCTATATTTGTGATTAATAAAAGGTCTTGCGCAGGCCATCTTCATGTTCATATGGTGTGTGTACCCCAGACCGTGCCTACAGGATACTACCACGAGGAGGTATGTGGTTCCCCTGGCTTTATATAAAGAAATTGGGCAGTACATTTAAAACTAACCTACAGCAGTCCAGTGAGGTTCAAACACATTTGTTTCTGTCCTAAGTGACATTTGACAGACACTTCTAAATATAGGCGGAGGTTTGCAGTATATATGCCTAGTGCCCAATCTGTGGCCAGGGGACCACATGCACCCCTATGGTAATGGTTGTGAGGTCCTGCAGCTCTAGCAGTCTGTAGTGGGAGTGGGAGGCTGGGAGCATCAGTCTGAAAAGGGGTAATGGCAGTAATCTCTACTATCCTCATATAACATGTTTCTAGTCTTTCACTGTCTTCTGCAGCATATCTTCAGTCCTCAACCATACTTGTAGCATGTCCACAGTCTCTGACCATAATTTTCTCAAGTATGTCTTGTGATATTTGGGAGCTCACAGAGCACTCGCACAGCGGGTTTTTCAAAACACAGAGTCTTTATTTTCTTTCAAAACAGTAGATAATCACGAAATCTAACATAAATAGCTTGCTGTAGCATATAACAGATAAGGGCTCACCAATCCTCGAGTTGTCCCAAACACTCACGGTGTCCGAGTCTTTTAATAAGTCTCTCTTGCAGGACTGCTGCTCCGGCCTCAATCTTCAGGGCCACTGTCTGGTTCCTCCAGACAACGGCAATAACATGCCAATCCTTCCAATACGGTTCACGAACCCACAGCTCCCTGATGCACTGGCCTCCGCACTGACTCCGGGGTGGAGCTCTCCTGACTCACAGGTGGGGCCCTGAACACATCCCAGCACACTCTTCATGAGGGATGTGCACAGGTGCACAATTAGGTGCTGGTCACTACCAAAGCATGGACCCAGAACTGGAGATTTCCTCCCACCCAGAGCTCTAAGAAATCTCCTAGGATCCAGAAAACCTGGAAAGGACTGAAAAGGCAGTTCTTTCCTGGTACCAGTAATGTCTTCCTGTAGCCACTCAGCCCCTCTGGCTGAGAACACTGGGTGACTTTGAGGCCACCTATCACCGTGGTAATGCCATGCAATGCCACAGTCTGCACTCTCTGAAATTCCTATCTTGGATTACATATACTAAACATTATGTTTGCTCCTTCACAGTTGATAGACCATAGTTCCATAGACTCTACAGCTGCTGTTTGTTAGGCCATATAATTGACAATCTATTCTAAGGTCCAGCACTGTGTGTGTTTCTCTTCTCAGGTTCCTGGCATAAACGTTCTCTACTATTGCAGTTAGATATGTATATTTTCCAAGGTAAAAAAAAATTGTGTTTTACAGTGTAAAGTATTAATATAAATTGTCATCCAAAATCTAAAGAAAAAACCTCACAGTTTATTATTTAAACCATGATTCCATGCAGGAATTATTCCCCTTCCTCATGCTGACCTCAGCCAGGCTACTTGGATCCATCTCTTTATCACTTTACTTCACAGGTTCACTTCATAACTTTAACAGTGCCAGCAATATGTACATGAATTATGCTGTGCTTGTGTAATAAGTGCTTACCTGCCATGACTTCATACAAAGTTGCTCTGTAGTCCACATATTCATATTCATCAAATTTATGTGGCCCCCAGCACATAGCTCTGCACTCAACATCTGCTCGAAAATAGCCTTTCAAAGCATCCTCAAAGCGCTTGATAGCTTGTTCATATTGTTCTTTATCGTAGAGTATCACACCCGCATGATAATCTTCCTAATAAATTACATACATTTTAGTCTTTGTAATATAAAAGTTTTGTAATGATAGAATTGAATTGCTTCAAATGAGATAATTTATTTCTGTCTGGAGTAACAATTTTTCCCAAATATGTGACCTGATCTGTGTGGTTGTTTTTTTTTAATTTTTCCACTTTAGTGTCTAGAAATTATTTAAAAAGGAAATGTAATCTCCATCTGGTAAACCAGTCACAGAAAATGTGTTTTCAGGTCGTGAGGGTATTTTATTGTGAGAGGTAGCACAGTCAACTAAAATTTCAAATGTCATTAGCTATTACTGCTGGCTCAGCCTGACACAATATTATGTGTCAGTGTAGTAGCTAATAAGTAATATGCCTTATACTTGATATTGCTGGATGAGCTTTGCAGTTTAAATACTCATTGGCAAGGTCTAAAATGTATATTTATATCAGCTATCCCAGCAAATTTTCCATGCAGATTGGCAGGATAGTGGCAAATAGTCGTTGTAGGAATTGGGAGTACAATATATTGGAAATACCATTCATATGTTACTTTTGCCAGATATACCGGGTATATACCAGATGATTTATACAGGATGCAGGAAAAGAATTGTCATTGCTGGTTTTAATAGGATATAACAAATGGTAGATTATACAGCAGGACATTCACCTGCAGCCTTTCTATTGATACTTCATGAAAGTGTCCCAGATGCCATTTTTGTGCACTTGAAATGTTTTTCCTGACACTTAATCTGTATCAGGTATCAGAGGTCACTTGACGTCTGCCAGTTGCCGTTACATCAATGGCCTGAGTTCACATACTTTCTCCGACTTCTAAGAGTACATGAAAGTCAAACAACAAAGCCTCACAGATACTGCTATGCACTAAGTAGATGCAAGACAGTGGGTAAGATCAGGTAGTGGAAGTGTCAGGCTTAGACAGAGAAATTGGCAATCTTTCTTAAGACAGTACAATTCCAATTAATAAAGAGTGACTATTTAGATTTGATCTTTTTTACCTTTTATCAACATCCCCTTCAGACATGAAGTAAAACATGGAGAATAGCAGAACAACAATATGTTTAAATCCTTCTAATCATGTGACTCCTAAATGCCTACAATTTTGCTAAAACACACAAACACAAACCGCATTTAAAAAAAGCACAGTTACTGAGGAAATGGTTCAATTAAATCACAAATTCTAAAGTTAAAAAGGCATGACAAATACGGTTGCTAGAATTGAAACTGAATGCGAGTCTGAATGACCAGTGGGAAAAACCTTATAATGAGAAGCATGTGTGCTGCTGTTTCTGTTCAATTACGTCAACTTAGTTAGAACCCAGCGCACTAAAAATTCAATATTATAAGAAAAAAACTTCTGCAGATTTTACAATACCTGGACTAGCCAATTGAAAAATGTATGTAATAGCAAGGAAAACTTACTATATAAAACCGACTCTCCCTGTCAATCAGTGGAATGTCCGATTTGATTTGGTAACTTTTTAAATTCTGCTGTACTTCCATATGCTCAGGATTGGCCATGAAGAAGGTATGAGCAGCTTGAGCAGCTTCATCTAGTTGATTCAGCTATAAAACAGTGAAAAACTTAATTAGAATCATATTCTTCTGCATTTCCATACAAGTTAATAATCCATAGCTTATAAAGGAAAATGTTGACACAGTTCACCTAATGATGTAGAAACATTTTTATTTTGCCCTCCAAAATTGTGAGTCCGCATAAAAAAGGCCACACCAAATACTTCGGAACTCAGCTTTTGGAACAATTCTGATGTTTATGACAATGGATTTGCAACATCCCTTTGTTATCCCATGTATTCATTATTCAGCCCAGCACAGCATTAACATGCCATATGAAATAATATTGAAGCACATGCCAAACATTCATAAATGAGCCTGGATATACTCCTACAAGCCAACTAAAATGTGTGTAAGCCATCTCCTTCTTATTCCTATCATCGTTACCAATTAACAAGGCAAGTGATGTCTAAAATGTAGTGATCCCTAGCAACCAATTCCGAATTTATCAGTCATTGATCTTCATATCTATTAACTCTGACTATCTGTTGTGCAGTACATACACAAAGGAAGGCCATATGTAAGGCATTAATTGGGACACATTTATAACAAGGTGGTTAAATTCAGGGACAATTTCAATCTCATTTCCCCCCTTAGAATTCATTACATTTAGTGGAGTGGATAAAAGGGCCATATACTGGCGTATGCAAATAATGATTGACAGCTGTAAAAGACAAAAGTACCAATAGTCATAATATAAATACAGCAAACCTGACAGAGATCTAGGAATTCTACGGAAGAATTGAAAATCCAGATGTTGGAAGAATGGAGGCAAATTCACAATCCAATAAAATAAACAGACAAATCTTGCCAGTAACTATGCTCTATAACTACGTTGAGAACTGTAACAGGTGAACAGCAGCCGAAAAGCGTTGACTGGTCAGCAAATCAATTAATTTTTGCTTATTAAAAGTGTGTTGGGTCTATGGCTATGTTTCAGCTTTCTAAAATAGAGCCCACATTCTTAAATCATTGGTTGCTTTTACATAGTAAAATGTATACTTAAAACAGATGTGTAAACTGCATTATTTAGATACAGATTTTCCGCTTGAGGTCAATAATCAATTGCAGAAAAATAACATGATGATAGCTTAGCCAACTATTCAAGAAGGTAAAAAAGCACATGGGATAAGTTAATAAATTATAGACTATGCCAAATTGGACAACTTCTTTTAATCAGCATTCAACAAGCTCTTCTGTGCTTTGTACCCAGGGGACTTTAAGGATGGAAGTTTTTTTTCCAGGCCTTTATACGTTGAAATGATAGATTTGTTTGGCGAGCTTCAGGCTTCCTGGCGTGACATCATGACCACACAATGATTTTCCTGTTCTGAGTGACGTCGCTGACTGAGAGCAGGCATTCCCCCTGAGCTCTACATTCCAAAGCAGTGAGCTCTGCTGTATTATTCTTCGTTCCACTCTGAATGTGGCTATTAGGTCTGATTTTCTAACATTCTAAAGGATCCCCTCAGGGTTTTAACAATCTTCATACCTTCACAGAAAGACTTCCTTCACTAACGCTATGTCAAAAACATTACTGAAGTATTTATTGGAGATATTTTGCAGATCACCTGTGTTTACCAGGAAAAATAGTTCTAAGCAGTGAAATTATAAAATGGTCTAATTGGAAACGCAACAACTTTGGACATAACAATAACAAAACTAGCTGATTTTCCTTGCTGCAGCCAGACATAAAAGTCAGATGTTGAGACTTGTTTGTTATTTAAATGTGATCCACCTTCAAGCAACGGGGTACAGCTTACATTCCAGCACACCTGTGCATATCAGACATCATAAATCTAGATGTTTGGACCATAACTCATCATTTTACCACCACAAATGCCATTGCTATAAGCCATTTGCTACCCCAGTGTGAATATCTCATCATGGAATTTTTGTTGCGTGATGAACTGACATTTCACAGGTACAGCTGATGTCTTGCAGTGCATTTGAGGTAACCCATGTCTAGCAAGAGACACATATCTCTTATGAAAATCACAAGGATACAGGAGAGAATTTTCCTAAACAGTAAACATTTTCTCTTTACTCTCATTAACCACCTTAGTACCAGATCAATTTTTTTTTTAAATTTTCACACACGTGCTAAAATCTGAAATGTTGTTTAGAAAATTACCTTAAAAGAGAACTATGGCCTAACCTTTTTGCCATAGTTCTCTGTAGGGTCACAGGAGGACATATACTAATGTCCACCACTGACTCAAAACTCAGTATATAGCGGTCTATTGGCCGTTATATGCCGAGAGCTCAAAGCCACACCAATCTCTAGAGGCAGAGCCAGCTGTGCCCGCCCCCTCCCCGTCCATTCTTCCTTTTTTTTGGTGATGGACAGTCACCGCTCTGTGCAGAGAGAGGATTGGGAAGTCAGCAATCAGCAGTATGAGTTCATGACTTCCTGATCAATAGAGCTGACCTGTGACAGCTACATTGAGGAAATAGGTGAGAAACAGGTCATGTATTAAAATTGCGTGCCCCCATGCAACTATGGTACTCCACATGTCCATCGGTGATGCTCTAAAAGCTTTTACTGCGCAACAGTTTAGAATTAATAGCGAATTATGATCCTAGAATTATTTATATATATATATATATTTCACTCCAACGTCCGCACTGATACCCAACATGGGTGGCAAAATCGTTGTTTACATACACATGCATGTCCTACGCATGTGTTTATTCACATGCAGATGGCGGGGACGGCAGGGTTGGTTTTCATTTTTATTTATTTTTTACTCTTTACTTTATCACTTTTTGAAATGCTTTCACTTCAGCGCTATCACACAGGGGATAACAAGCCCCATATGTGATAGCGTTTGGAGGTGACAGGTTCTCTTTATTGAGTAAATAGAACTTCAACTGACTTCTGAAGCGCTCCCTGCTTAATTCATCAGGGATGTTCCTTGGCCTGCTTCTGCTCTATGAAAACCATCACAGGGGTGTGTGGTCGCTGGTTGACGACAGAATGCAGAATGTCTGTTTGTGTGGGAGAGGCGGCACATTAGCAGGCTGCTAAAAGTTTTCTTGGGAGCTGTACAGCCACCAGATCACTTGTAATTAACAAGCATCGCCTGCAGAAAGAACCCATACGATGTCATCGTACAACCACTTCAAGATCAGGACATACGCATACATCATATGGTCCTGAAGTAGCTAAAATAATCTTTAAAAAAATTAAAATACACAAATGACAAAATCGATTCACCTATTAGTTACAAGTATCGTTCATACCATAGTTTCAGAATATCGATATGTTGAAATACAGTATATGATACTTATGTTAAAGCCCAATAGGCTTTTTATTTTTTGATGGCGTTTGAAGTATTAGAGTATCTAACAAGCTTATTTCTTATGGTTTATCCTTTGGGGAGATTGCTTCTTACTTCCTGTTCGGTCTGACAGGAAGTGAATAGAATGTTCCCCACAATCAGGAAATTGACAGCAATACAATTTGGCAGGATTTCTAAGTCTTCCTTACTCCCACGGAATGAAAATTAAGTGAGGCGAAATGTCCATAAGAAAGGACACAGCAATACAAACGAGCAGAAGTTCTAACGCCTCCACACTGCATTCAAATCTAAAAAAGCCACTGTTTAAAATGTGTGATTTAAACCAGGATGCAATAACGGGCGGTGAAACGTTACACTATGAAAAAAGTGTGTGTGTGTCTATATAGATATATATATATATATTATATACACACACAAACTATATTATAACCCATTAGTAGTGGAATCAAACAGTTCTGTAGTCCTAATATACTTCCTGTTCAAGGGTGACAACACAGGTTGCTTCGTAGATACAGTACAGTGAGTGAGTTTTGTCACCCTAACTGTGTTACTGGCAGGATCATCAGCTGAAAATGACAGAATGAAGTTTGAAAAAAGAACACTAATGCAGCCACCATATCACTGGACTGATAAGCTGCAATATATGACATTTATATGCTTGTTTCTTGCTAAACTTTAAAGTTTAGTGTTCACAGGTTTCAGAGTCTATAATCTTTAGTGTCTGTTGGGCACCCCATTACTATGTCTTGTTAAAAAGGACACAAGATTGTATCTCACAAACTGTTGCCTTTGTTTTTAAACCAGAAGATGCTGCCAAATTATGTTATTATGACTTGCCACAAAGATCACTTATGCTTAAAGCGGAACTCCAGAATAACAGCTTAAATACAGTTCAAGTATACTGTATATATATAGTATGTGAACTGTTTACATACAGAAGTACTTATTATTCCTCAGCCAGCCTTGTGAATTGCATCCCTACCACAGTACATGACCGGACACGTGACACCCCTCTTTCCTAGTTCAGTTTAGATCTTCGAGTGTTACCTCTCTGCCTCATTCCTATTCTTTGGACAATAAAGCACCATCTGTCATATGAACAGGGAGATGACAAAGAAACATGGACTGTCCAGCAGATAGTAGAGTGATCTTCCAGGCTATGAAGTATAGCAGTGGCTGAACAGGATAAAGATCCTTTATCTTTATCTTGGATCTTTATCCAGTTATCATATGTGTATTTAAGCTGTACATTCATCTGTTTGCTTGGAGTCCCAAAGTGAACAAGAAAACACACTTCTATAAAGTCATGTAACGTTTATGATGTATTGTAATGTAGTGTTTCAGCATCTAATACCCTTTTACTGACTTCATGTATAATGCTCTATTTTTTATTTTGTTACATTCTATTAAAATGTATGCTTGCTGCTTAGAAACATCTACAATGCTATTAGCTCACAACAAATCTGAACAAGTTCGGAATGCATTTATGGTATTTTGGTGTAGTTAAACCAACATCAATACCATTAAGTGTTAATTATGTAGGGTGTTGCAAGGGAGTGGATGCTATTAATGTTGCCCTCCAGATATTTATGAAAACTCTACCTTGGTTACCCTCTATGCGCTTCTTAATATATTCAGGAACATGATACTGATTGTTATGGATTTCAGTAAACACAATATTTTCCA